TTGGGAACCACTGTTGTGTTCAGGGACCCTGAGCTGGGAGACCCGAGTTTGCCTAGGGAGTCTAGTACCGTCGACGTAATGATGGTACTGAGCCTCGACACGTCATTAGTGTTGATGGATGCTCCATCGATGGTATACCTATCGACATCCCTATTTTTGAGTCCGTTGCGCGCTCTTGTTTGTATATCGTTTTTTTACTGTCGTATTCCAAGTTAACTGACAGCTTGTTCCGAAGACCTGTCAGTAGGACAATGATGTTACTCAGCAAGACTACCGCGTCCGTGTTGCACGTGACACATACCCACTTTTGGTCTGACTTGCTGAGTCTGTTGTAAGCAGCTGCTGTCAGATTTGTGCATGCTTCGTGGAACCAACCTTTGCAGTTGTCGCACTGCATGCCAGTTGTGACAGCGAAACGGCATCCCGGACGTTTGCATGAGTTTTTCATGACGGTGTTGAAGCAAACTATGTTATAGATGCTTGCAAAAGCTTAAGACCTTTTTAAAAAAAACACTAAAATGCACACTGAAAACGGACAAAAATGGACAAAACGAGTGATATAAACTGAAACTAGTCTATACGTGAAAAACAAAAAAAACCGAATAGTAAGCTGAGGCAAAACCACAGGTAACTATTAAATATAGTGAAACTCAAAAAAAAGTAATCTACCGAACGTATAGCTCAGGATAGATTCTTTAAAACTGAAATGGTACTTTTGTTGCGTAAGAACACAGCAAAAGTTTGATATATGCAAATCACGTTAGGACTAAACTTCCCGTTCGAAAAGCCTTTGACAGTCGCACGGCTCACTCGGGGAAAGGAATTTAAGCATCAGAACCACCCGAGGCTACTTCGTGTAACACTTAAGAATGCTACCGACGTAGAGGATGTCTTACTAGCGAGTCATTTACTGAAATCAGATGGGAATGTAAGAATACTGCCTGACATACCGTATTCTGAGCGCTATCTCATCCGGAACATCTCCAAAGAATCTCGCGATCAGTTTTTCTGCGGGAGGAATATAATCGTGCAATGTATACCGGAAAATAAGGACCCTACTCAATCAAAAACTGACATCAGGGAATGGAAATTCATCAAACAGTCCTTGAGGCCCAAACACATACTGACTCAGCATGTGACGAGACTAGCCAAGAAGGATGGTGATTCTAGTCCCCGTCTAATGAAGATACCTTCCCATCTTCCCATATGGCGGCTGCAACTCTGGAAGCATTTCGTGCTAATAGACGTCGATTGCCACCTGGAATCCACATTATTATTACTATTATTATTATTATTATTATTATTAATAATGCACCCGCATAGGCCATACGAAGCTAGGATCAAACACAAAGGCAAGTTGGAGCTGACCATTCCACTTGTGGACTGTCTAGACGATAAAAAACGTGTAAAGGACAGGGCCTACCACCTCGGCAAACCTCATATAGGTGGGTTACCTATCCTTTTACGTACGGCTCATACAGACAAACAGGACGAAGCTCACGCATTCCAAATTGAAAGCATAAACTATTTATACATGAACGCCGCTAGTCTACCAAACAAATTGGATGAACTACGTGAACTTAACAATGCTAATAAGGCCCATCTGATAGGAATATCTGAAAGCTGGATATCTTCTCAGTTCTCGGACCATGAGTTAGCATTACCTTTGATGTCTTTGTTCCGCAATGACAGGAAATCAGGAATTGGGGGCGGAGTAGCCATATACATAAGCTCTTGCTTGGAGGTGCACCAAGTTCATAACCTCGAGTTTAACAATCTTGAGGAATCTATATGTTGCTCTGTAAGATCGTCTAGTACTTCGAGGTGCCTAGTCGGAGTCATTTACAGGAAGCCAACTGCCGACATCGAGTACGATAGTCGTATGCTGGAAGGACTATCCCGCTCTATCCGTCTCGGTTTCACACACATCCTGATTCTAGGGGAATTTAGTCTCCCTAGAGTCGACTTCGCGGAACACACGTATGCTGGAGGCGACAACTCAACTGAAGCTCGGTTCTTCAACCTTATCGATGACTTGGGCTCATATGAAAATGTGAGGTCGGCAACTCGTTGGAGAAACAGTCAGACACCATCGCGCTTAGACTGTGTATTTGTAGTGGCATTGGACCATAACCACACAATCTTCAAAGCTGAATACGAGATTACTCAGAAAATAGATATTCAATATTTAACGCGGAGAAATACCTAACGATGGAGAAGGCGGGAGGAATGTATTGGATGATTGGAAGTTGGTCGGATGGCATGGCTCGGCCATGCAGGCGTGGTCCCTCTGAATGTTACCTTATATCTTCTATTCATATTAAATATATTGTTCCTTCTCTAGCCTAACCTTGTTCTACATCATTTATTGGTAGTTGATACGATACAGTGAGTTGGTGTAGTCGATGGTGTGACTTCCACGTAAGATCTTATAGATCAGGCAGTTATATCATGACAAATCTACAATTTTAGAATTAGGTCTATTATTAGAGCAGTACTAATATCATAGTAGACTATAATTCTACATATTCACAAACGAAGAATTCCTAGTTGACAACCTCTCAATCTTGGCCCCCCTGGGTAAAAGCGATCATGCCGTCATAGTCTTCAGTTTTGTCAGCAAAACTAAGCTAAGACACCCCACCAATAACTTACGTTGGAATTTTAAACGGTTGAATGTGCCAGCTCTACACGACTATCTACAACAGGTGGTTTGGGATGTTCACCCTCAACTCGATGTGGACGGTCATTGGGACTTCTCACTGCACACGCTCCTACGTGCTACAAACCATTCAGTTCCTCAAACGGTCCCCGAAAGCTGCAAGCCACCTACAGTAATCAAGAACCGTACTCTTCGCCTGCTAAGCCGCAAAAGACACTGTTGGGCGGAATACAAACAAACTGACAACGATGGAGCGTATAGGCGATACAAACATATCAGGAACACATGCACGAAGGCTATAAGAGAAGACAGGCTTCAGTACCAGACAAAGCTTATGGACAAGTTTTCCTCTAATCCTAAAAGCTTATTCCGTTATGCAGCCTCTCTTCGTCAAGCCAAAACTGAAGTTTCCCAACTTGTAGGTCTTAACGGCCCGACCAACAACGATGGCGACGCCGCTAACCTTCTGGCTGAACATTACTCCCAGACATTTCAACCGACCGACGTTAACTTTACTGATGACAGTTTCATCTGCAATTCCACAGGATTTTCCGAAGTGGACCTAAGCGCTGACTTGGAGTTCCGGAAACTGCAGCACTTAAGACTTGACACTTCTCCTGGCCCGGATATGGTTCATCCTGCCATACTGAGGGAGGCAGCCTCAATCCTGGCAACGCCGCTTAGCGTGATGTTTTCACACTCGCTAAGTCGAGGCAAATTACCGGAAAATTGGAAGTTGGCTCACATCACACCAATTTTCAAAGGAGGTCGACTCAGCGAACCTTCAAGTTATCGGCCGGTGGCTCTTCTGTCATTACCTTCAAAACTCATGGAGTCCCTGATATGCGACGGTTTAAACGACTATGTACTGTCCTTAAATTTCTTCTCACCCCAACAGCATGGTTTCAGGAAGGGTTACTCTTGTATTATAAACCTGCTGACTGCGGTGGACAGATGGACAAGCATCCTCGATTGCAAGGGAAAGGTTGACACCATCTACCTAGATTTCTCAAAAGCTTTTGATAAGGTTAACCACTTGTGTCTTATCAACAAGCTCAAACGACTAGGTATCAAACCACCTCTAATCGATTGGCTTACTTCATACCTAAAAAATCGACACTTTAAGGCTAGGGTTAATTTCACTTTATCTCAAGCTATGGAATGTCCTAGTGGGGTCCCCCAGAGCTCAGTACTAGGGCCTCTTCTCTTCTTGATCTACATAAATGAGCTTCCTCAACAGGTAACGTCAGACTTATTACTTTTTGCCGACGACGTGAAACTTTGGAGAGAGATACGCAACCAAGACGATATACAGGCACTTCAGGAGGATCTGACTCGACTTCAAAGTTGTGCAGACGATAACGGACTTATTTTTAACACTTCGAAGTGTAAAGTAGTCCATCTGCGACATGTCGCAAACTACAGTTACAACTTAGGAAACTCCTCTCTAGTAGTATCCCAAGTCGAAAAAGATTTAGGAATCTTGGTGCCCCATGATTTAAAGTCTTACGCTAACTGTGACAAAAATGCCTTCCGAGCAAACCTTGCACTGGTAACATTGAAGCGCATTTTTGACCAGTTTGACGGAAGAACTTTCCATAAAGTCTTCAATATTTTCATCCGTCCCCATTTAGAGTACGGAAACATAGTACCTCCCCCCTCACTCCAAAAGGACAAGGTCACTTTGGAGCGTATCCAACGGCGAGCCACGAAATCAGTTCGAGGACTCAAATCTAAGCCTTACGAAGAGCACCTCCATTCACTAGACCTTTACCCATTAGAGTATAGGCGTCTTAGAGGTGATTTATTAATGGCTTATAGTATTCTTAACACTTCTGGACATCCTCTCAAACACCTACTTAAGCTTAATTCGAATAATAACCTAAGGGGTAACACCCAGAAACTGGAGACACAACATAGCAGAACTGGCTGTAGACACAACTTCTACTCCTTAAGAGTTGTCAAAAGCTGGAACTCGCTGCCGGCCGAGCTAGTCCAAGCGATTTCTCAGGAGTCCTTCAAGAGGCAACTTGACCTATTCTTAAGGACCAAGGACAGCATCACACTATGATTTACCAATTTCTTTTCCTGTTTTATTGTTAACATACCTAGGTTCCTGCCGGGAGGATTTTGTGATCCCCTGCTACCAGACACGGAAGCCTGTTAAGCGAAAGCTTCTTCTATTTCGTCCACAACCATTTAAACCATTTACCACGTAACTGAAGCCCCATCTGTTGACTCCTTCAAAAGAAAGTCAGATCAACTGAGACAACACAATTAGCAGGATTAACACAGGCCTCCGGGCCTTCGGTCTTCTCCAATGTGGGTCTGTTGTCCAGCTGAAGGTCATGGCGCGGTGTGTGACTACTATGTCTTGCGCGCTAAAAATGGTATCTCCCAAATCCCTCGGTCTGATAGGTATCTAATTGTACGGTCCAAAGATGTTCTAACCTTTTCAGTAACTGAAAGCGACTCTATCCGCTTAGTGTTGCACAGTGGAACTATGACTTACGAGATTTGAGTTGGTCGTTGGATTGTTGCAAGAATTTCACTTATCTGTTTGCTTATATATTATTTTGGCATTATTGCTGATGTCATTTCGTAATAATAACCTTATATTTGAGCAATAAACCTGTCTAGCTGGAGATCGCAATCATGTTTCGCCGCTAATGTATAACCCTCGTGTGACCTTAGCAAGTGACCGAGTTTCCCCAAGATCATTTTAGCATCGCTCACAGGGTGTTCACAAATTACAGTCTCACCCACTGAGCATAATGCAGACAACAGATTAGCGCTAACATGGTCCTAAATAGTAGTGTCGTAACGTTCCTCCTCACTCCAGTGGTTTTTTCTACTTATAGCGTAACCCTGTTATTCATATCAAGAGGTATTTGCCTACATACGTCGCTAGCTGTGAACCTCCAAGGGACTTTGTCTCGAGATTTCCTTTCCAATTGCTACTCAGTAGCACTACTACACAGAGACAATAATCCCCACTTCGTCAAGAAAACCGACATAGGTTGAGCTAACATGCTACTCTGTGTCATACTTTAGGTTCGTGCTTCTTTCCTTGTTAATATTGAGGCTTATTTCTGCGAAATCTTCTACACTAGCTGTATTCGTTCTTGTTTACCGCTGTGTATAGGACAGGAAGACCGATTCATCTGCAGAATTAAAATCACTCAGCTACGCCTTCAGTCCTCATTGTATTCCGTGCTTATCATGAACTGTGGAGGTCTTCATATTCTAGTCAGCAACTAGCACAAAGAGAACAGGTGAGAGTAGGCAGTCTTATCTAAAACAAGTGTACACTAAGAATGCATCAGTGAGCTGTCCTCCATACACGACTTTCCAATGAAGGCTCATAGGAGTTCCGTATGGCGGTGACTATCTCAGGTACTCCTTAGTGGTTTCACCTGGTATGCTCTCTGGTTATGGTACTTTGGCATTACTGGTTTATATGGTTGCCTTGCTAATATCTCTTGCTGTTGGTGAAGCAATATCTGTAGGGAGGTCTGTGTACTGCTTTTCTTTCCCCACTGGCTTTTTAATAGTATAATGTAGTTCTTATATAATTCCTTCTTTTGCAAACTTTTCTGCTGCCGTTCTCAGGTCTCCTACATATTTCCGCTTGTCAGCCCTAATGTTCTTCACTAGTTTGAATAAAGCTAAAACAACGATTGAGGCAGAATATGAATTCATTATATTTTGTGGTTTAGCATCAGCTGCTTACAACCATATATGTAGTAAAAGTTGGCATTAAGGTATGATATAATGTGAAACGTTAGACTTTGATGACGGAAAGAATTAAAATGACAAGTATTGCCAATACTATATATATATATATCTGTAAAATGACAGGTGTGAGTTCATTGGAAGATGGAATTCAAAATCATTCGGGGAGGGAATGAGCAGTAATTAAATGAGGTCCGGAGACAGATAAGACTGCGATAATTTCAGGTGTTGAAGGGTTTAAATATAATTACAGGAATTAGAAGTTAATAAGGCAGGTTATGTAATAATTGAACAGGATTTGAAGTTTATATAGGAGCATTAAGTGAATAAAGACCACACGAATAAACGGATAATTTTAGTTTACATAAAATAAGAGTTAGTTTAGCGAAGACCACATAACAAAATAAACGCTAATAAAATGATGATAATAAAAGAAATATTTTACCATGGTAGAAATAAGTTGATTATTGTCTCATTGTGGATAAACAAGTCAGGTTTTAATTTTTTTATTGTTGGTGCTTCGGAAAACCGGAGAGACCCTACGTGTTTTTTTCTGCTAACGATTTGAAAGGATTGTGGAATATTGGTAGTATGCTCGGTATGAATTATATGCCGAGCTATTGCACTGTTTAGAGCTGTTTCTCCTATTGACTACCTAGTTTCCTAATATAGTTACATCAGTGACCAAATATTTTAGCATGCTCTATTTGATAAATAAAAATAATATATTTGTAATATCCCAATGAGTAGAAAATTGGATTTTCTGACGTTTCGTGGCTTAGTGTAAGTCACTTCTTCAGAGAATAAATAACCAAATTAAAATTTTAATTTGGTTATTTATTCTCTGAAGAAGTGACTTACACTAAGCCACGAAACGTCAGAAAATCCAATTTTCTACTCATTGGGATATTACAAATATATTATTTTTATTTATAACAATCAACCCAATGCTCAATTTATTCGAAATTATCAAATCAAACCTTGGTAATGACACCTACATGCTCTTTTTGACTTCGGAAATCCGAAACTTACCACATGTCCTCAAAATGTACCTAGCTACTCAGATATACAATCCTCCCAATAGTCGAACTAGCGTGTTCCTACAGTATATTGATCGACACAGGTTCATATCTCGTGAAACTTAAGGTTTCCCATTGTTATGTACACAGATTCACTCTAACTATGGAACGCTAGGCACGCATTATCCCGATGACACATATTTCACGAGCTACACGAACCCACATCAAGAAACTGTACATTCTTTTTAGATAGTGTCTGCCACCGGACTTGAGACTTTGTCACACCTAGAAAATATTTGTTGCAAGTGATTAGTTTATTCACAGATCTCCCTTAACCACAACTAATTTCAGTTATCGGTGACGAAATACTGAATGGAAAAGCAAAAGATTCCAATTCACGACAAGTATGCCTCACTGCCCCGCTTTTTGGTGTACGACTTCGGAAGGTAACTTAAGTGCACAGATAACACCCTAATGTAGATTTCTGTTATTCCCGATGACTCAGATGCTATCGCAGAGGAAGTTCGCAACTATATGAACCGTTACGACTACGTAATAACATCGGGGGGTATAGGTTCTACTCACGATGATGTGACATATGAAGGTGTTGCAAAGGCACTAAATGAAAAGATTATCATTCATCCAAAGTTCTTACAAACCCTCAGGAGACTATCAGAACCGAATATGATTTCCTCTTCAGACCCCATAACCAAACTTGCCAAAATACCGGAGTCATCTGAATTACTATATGCAACAGGAATCCAGATGGATAATGAAGGCTCTTATCCTATTGTCAAAGTGAAAAATATCTTCATTTTACCAGGAGTTCCATGCTTATTTAATATGGCACTAGAGATAATTAAGGTAAGTTTGGTTCTGTTTTATAAATTTATTTTGAACGCACTAGACTCTCTCGAACCTAAGGAAAAGCCAGATCTACGTATAATATAAGCTGCAGCTCTCACACCGGACTGCAGCGACGTGATCATTGGCTTACCACGTATATAATCTGCAATAAATCCGGCGGCAAAGGAATCACCAGCTCCATTTGTATCTACCATTTCTTCGTCTTTCAACTGCTCTACAACATATTGATGAATGGTAGGGTCAGTAGAATCCGTATATATTATGGGATCTTTCCCTTGTGTTACAATGACCAATCGTTTACGCTTTTTTCCATCAACAAATGGTAAGTCAGCTATATACCTGGCTGCTGCATGAATGGTTTTATCAGTAAGACTGTGAGCATCTCCAAACGCCGCGGCTTCAGACTCATTCCCAATTACCACTCCTGAGTAGGATATCATTTCATTTACTTCTTTAGTATTAAACTGAGGTAGGAAAGCAGCACTGAGATTGAAACAGAACAACGTTCAGGTTTCTACAGTCGAGCTTAAGGCTGTACTATAAATTGGCGCTATTAATGTGTGGTTCTGTTATTATTCAATATTCGTAGACCTAATTCTGACAAGAAGGGAAAGCGCGTAGTTGATTGGAGTGTGAGAGACCTCTAAAACGGACTATCTTTAATCGCGTATTACATTTGTGCGTGATTATTATCCTGTTAACATTGTGTATACAAGCATGTTTTTAAAGAAGCTATTCTAGCGGATTACTCTCGTCTTTTGATATCACTTTAATTGGGGACGGATACATCAGCAATTCAATCTTGTGAGTAGCTATCACTCGGCTAAACTTTATCACAAATGCAAAAGTTGCTCCGAGTCTGGTATGCATCACCGCCTGAACTAATGATGGTGAGTGAAGTAGTTGAGTGTGTCGACCACTTTACTTACCTTGAAAGTCACATAAGCTCTGATGAGTCGGCATCTGACAAAATCGCAAATGCGTTTCTCAACCTACCACTTGTGGTGTGGACGGGATGTCCATCTGCTAAGTCAACTATGAATTTACTGCTCGCCAGTTCGTTATGTTCTACTTAATGGTTGTGAAAGATATCCACCAAGAATAGACGACATTGAGCAACAATACCAAGATGTTTGGGTTGCGTTTCTCACCCTTTAAATTCAAGTTGTTACTGCAGGACTGGTCTGCGTCAACACCTGAACTAAGGATAGGGAATGAAGTAGTCGAACGCATTGACAACTTCACTTATCTTGGGACTCTGGTCAGCCCTAATGTGCTGACGAAATTTCTGCACGGATTCAAAAGGCTCATTCGGCTTTTGCTTAATTACGTCACCTATAGCGAAAGAGAGATATTCGTCTATCAATTAAGGGACAAGTATATTGCGCAGCAGTTCGTTCTGTTCTAATATACGGCTGATAAACGTGGCCATTAAAAGTAGAAGATACTCGTAAGCTCCTATCGTAACCAATGGTTGGAGACTATGTGACATGGCTCAGAACCAATCACTCCCTTAAATCGGGAGACTGAAATTGCTTTTTACCTTTGTCTTCATGTCCTTTTTCTCTTCTCAAATTTACTTCACTGGATTATACTCTTTGAATAACATCTTCAAACCTTAGTCTTTCCGATTACTACTCATACTCTTACTACTTCTACCACTATGGGATTTGAATCGACAATTGTATCTCTGTGCTAATGTGGTATGGCAACTTGAGCTGATGTACGTACGTACGAAGTTTTGCTGACTGACTGATTATGTCCTTATACACAATCTTTTATATATTACTATCATTGAAATAACTACTATGAATTCGATGATCATCTTGTTGCGCTAATGAGGTGTGGCAACTTGAACCGATTTATATATGTGCCTGGTCCTACGTTGTAGCTGACTGATATTCATAGGACACTATTATTCATTCATAGGTTGCTTCAAAGTACCGCTCATATATGTTGAAACGACTGAGTAATGTTCAGGTTAGATATATGGTAGTGAACCGACTGATGTGGCAGTGAATCTTTCTCGACAGATGGTTGGTATGTGCATTATGTATGGCCAGCCACTTTCAGCTCAACAGGTGTAGGGGCAAACTGGAAGAAGTTTAGGGATGGCCAAACATAAATGCTGCACAAATCTATGTTATAACCGAGCGAGTACTGGAAAAGTTAAACTTTCGAAACTGTTTTAGATTTTTTTGTTTGTTAAATGCCCAAATGATTGTATTCTCTTGCTTGTAACCTTTTTCACGATGCATAAATCGTTATTATATATTGTAACTCCTAATTTACTGTTAATTTATTACAAACCTATTGCTCACTTGTCCTCCACCAACGGGATAGTCGTACCGATATTGTAATTTCTTAATAATGTTGATGTGTCGTCAAGATTTTACTCCACATCATTCCATTATTTTTGAGTCATGAATAAACTGATAATAATAGAAACTGGCTGCTAACCTTTCTCTAGGAATAAAGACAAGAAAAACAGAAAAATTTGAGTATAGCGGAAGAATGTGAGTTTATCTTACGTCGGCTCAAAGTTAACAGTGCAGGTCAAAAGTCCAGTTGGTCGAGTATAGGATAGTAAGCTATAAATGGAATGGTAGAAGCTAGATCGATAAAACCATAGCCCGAATTCTGACTGGACAATACAACACGTGATATCAGTTAGTATTCCCGGATGACAACACTATAAAGTCGTTGAAAATTGGACTAAGCCATGTGAGTGGGGGCAGAACACGTAATTGTGGTCCACACGACCATCGTAACGTGCTTGGAGACGTTAAATGACAAGGCTCATAATCGATCACATTGTTACAGAAGCATTCCCTGTCTTTTTTCATATTTTGAGTTCTAAAATCACACTGTTTCCCTTTTTTCTACAACATGTTTCCTACTACCACTGATACTGTTACTACTTTGGGATCTGCCCGGAAAGTTCTGTCGCGATGTGCTAGTGTACAATTCGTTTGCATAATCATAGAGTCTTAATTCGTAATTCACTTGACCGACTAAAACTGATGTATACAATGATTTAGGGGAACTGAAATTGATCAGGGATACTTTATAATAGTTGCTTCACCAACCGTCATACAAGTGCATCAGTAAAGAAATATCTATCAGTTTCACCAATCATAATATTCACTTAACTCTTATTTAGTAATGGCCAATTTAGTCTTCCGGTTCGCATCCTACAAGCAAGAAATACCATCCTGAGCAATAATCAATAACGTAGGTGTCATTACCAAGGTTTGATTTGATAATTTCGAATAAATTAAGCATTGGGTTGATTGTTATAAATAAAAATAATATATTTGTAATATCCCAATGAGTAGAAAATTGGATTTTCTGACGTTTCGTGACTTAGCGCAAGTCACTCCTTCAGAGAATAAATAACCAAATTAAAATTAATCCAAGTTTAAATAGTACAACGGAACAATGCAAGAATAATATTTGATCAATCAAAAATAGGTTTGAACAAGCTGGTGTCATGTCATTTCTGTCAAGGTGATTCATAAGTGATATGTATGTAAATTTGTGTGTATGTACATGTGCATTGTTTAAGAATGAAAACTTGTGTGACCTTTATGGTAAGAAAGGATAGAGTTTAAATTTGTAATATGATAGTGTGAAATTGTAAATACGATCAGACTGAATGGCTAGGATAGATGGTCCAAGTAGGATGTATGGTAAGACCTTCCTTTCTATTGAGAGAAGTAGGATTAAGCATTATATGGAACGCCTCAGCTACCCTCCTTTCTTTGTAGTTGGAAAAGCCTTTTTGCAATATTTCGATATTTTTAAAATCGATTTGGTGGTTGTTGAAAATGGCATGAACTGCTATTGCCGATTTAATTTGAAGTTGGTTCAATTCTACAGGATTGTTAGGAGGTTTCTTTGTGTACCTAATATGTTCTTTGGCTCTAGTCACGATTTCACGGGATGACTCTCCAATATAATAGGCATCACAATCAATACAACCTAATTTGTAGACGCAGTTCTGTGTGGACATGAAAGGGATTTTGTCTTTCAGGCGAACTAAGGTATTACGTAGTGTGTCCGTTGTTTTGTAATACACTTTGATTCTGTGATGTTTTAAGATTCTTTGGATTTCTGTTGTGCCATGACGGTATGGTAGAACTACAGTACCAATCCATGGCATTTCATTCGAATCATTATTATAATGTAATAAATTGTTTTGTTTTAATATGCTTCTAATAATCTTCATAGGAAAATTATTAAATTGTAAGATGCTAACTATATTCATTTGTTCTTTTTGTTTGTCTTCCTCTGATGTGATGATCTTGTTAGCTCTTCTAAAAAGATTTAAGGCTAGCGAGATCTTTGCACTGAAAGGACGTGCTGAATAGAAGTCAATATAACGATTTGAATGTGTCGGTTTTCGGTAAATGGATAGGTATAGACTTCCATTTGAATTTCTTTTTACTAAGCAATCCAAGAATGGTAGCTCACCATGTACATTTTCATTTTCATTCGTGAATCTGATGTGCGATGAAAGTGTATTTCGTTTTGAAAAAGATCTTAGATGAGTCTTTTTTATAACAACAAATGTATCGTCTACACATCTAACCCAAATTCGTGGTATAATGTTGTGGGCGAAGATATTTGATTCTACGTATGCCATAAAAAGGTTGGCTATAATCGGGGACACGGGGGATCCCATCGCTACACCGTTAGTTTGTTTGAATAACATACCGTTAAAAGTAAACAGCGTTGAATTTAAGCAAATTTTTAAGGATTTCATGATTAGACTGATGCTCAACGGACATCTGTCAGGAAGAGTATTGTCGTTCTCAAGTAAACCACAAATGAATTCTAAGCATTTATCAATGGGAACACTTGTGTATAAAGAAACGACATCAAAGCTTACCATGATTTCATTCTTCTCGATGATTAATCCGGATAATTTTGATTTAAAGTCATATGTGTCTTTAATTATATTATGTAAGTTGAGTTGTAGTGGTTTTAATATAATGCTTAAATATTTTGATAATGCATATGTTGGGGTGTTTGTGAAGTCTACTATCGGTCTTAGAGGAATATCTGGTTTATGAATTTTTGGTAAGCCATAAAACCGTGAGACATTACATGATTTGGGATGCAACGCAAACCAAAGCGAGACCCCAATGATTGGTTTTAGCTCGTTCAGAAGTTGATTTGTTTCTAATTTGACTTTATTCTTAATTGTTAGAGAAGTTTTTGGATTGATCTTTTCATAAGGTCCTGTTGAGAGATGTTCAAGAGCTTTATTAATATAATCTTTTATTCATGATTACTGTTGTGTTGCCTTTGTCGGCTTTTGTGATGTTAATCGTTTTGTCTTTTTTAAGTGAATGCAGAGCCTTCAATTCTTCTTTTGAAATGTTTGGTGTAATGTGTTTTTGTTTAGTCAGAATATGGGATGTCTTTTGACGTAGTAAATGCGACTCTTTTCCAGGTAGTTGTGTGATCATTGGTTCTATAATTGGAGCAATTTCAAGAGAGCTAAGTGGTTTTCTGTGTAAATTGAAATTTAATCCCTTCTCTAGTAGAGTGATTTCGTGACTGTTTAAGTTTCTGTTAGAGAGATTATGAACAGTTCTTCTTAGATCGTTCGAATTGTATTTTATTGTTGATGTTTTCCCATCTTTCCTCTTTTCTCTGGTGTTTTCGAGTTTTTTAATTTGTCGGTGTTTCGATGAATTTAAATAGTGGCGTTCTCTTTCTATAAACAGGTTGGATATCGTGGTTTGTAATTCGATCGGGATTAAAAGCTTCAGTAAATCATCAAGGTTTTTGATTCGTTCACGATATTTTTCTAGTAAATGTGTGCATTTGTGAATGTGCTCTCGTAAGAATATTCGAGACGCGTGTTGCGAAGTCTGGATAGATCTTCAGGACCGTTCTGGAGGTTTTATAACAAGAGATTTAGGGATAATGTTGTCTTGTAAACATCGTTTATTAAATATTCTGTGATTGTACCAATTGCATTTACACTTGGATAATTTGGTCCGGTTATTAATCAATAACGGTTAAATACTGAACTTTCTTGTAACAAACTTTATTTATTGAATTTATTTCAGTTAGTCGTAGAATGTAACCCATTAATATACAGGTGTATGCAAAAGCTAAGCCAATCAATCTGTGAAGCCTGCTCACACTGATCGGCTGGTAAAACCTGAGTTCAAATTTTGGATCTACTGGGAGATGCACGCATGTTCTAATTTCAATCCAACGATCCGTATAGTAAATGGTGATACAACTGGATTACGTGGAGCTATCTAACGAGACTGTAGAAAGCATTTGACTTTCAATACAGATAGTATTGTTAAACTTAACGAACTTATCAACCCTTCTCTGCTGATGATTTAAAATATAATTCTAGTTTCCTTCAATTTATTTGACCATACTTCCTTCATAAATTCATTCTTTCATTTGTGTTGCACATTTATTTTGGTGCCCACTTGGGTCAATATTCGTGTTTAATGATTAAGTAAGTTTAGACTGTATACAATCATATAATTCTAAGTGATCATTTATAGCGATAATTTTGAGTAAAAAAAAGTACGGTAACATGTACTCAAAGAAGGAACGAATTGAGCGAAATTTCTTTTTAATTAGTTTTTCATCATGGCTCTACACTAATATATATATGATTTACAATAATGATATAATACTCATCGAGTGGATACGTCATGTAATAATTACATAATGACATTAAAATTAACATTGAGTAATTGGGAGAAAGAGGATTATTAATATTCAAAGTAATTATTAAATCAAGAAGTTGCTACGTTTCGTAATATATGAAAAGAGAAGGAACAGAATTTTATAATGGATGGTCAATAGAATTGTAGTTACGTAAGAATCAAAAGATGAATGTTGAGGAAATATAAAGTTCAAAAGTAAAAAAAAAATTTTAAAAAGAAAAAAAGAGTGGAAGATTTATGAAAAATAGTTCTGCTGAAGGAAATCTTATACCGATGGCCAAGGCAACAAAATTGGTTGTACAAATCTCTTTTGAATGCAAAGGTCAGGTTTGTGAACATGGATTGCGATGGCTTCCGCGATGTGCAAAAGGCGCACTCGCAAACCATGCAGCAAATTTGATGGGATATTGTAGTTAACCTTAAAAGTTCTATTCAATTCAACTTGATGACCTGTGTCGACCAAGTGAGGGAGAATCACTTTTACCTGTCATTTGTTTAATCACGGCGGATGACGTTCTGTAATACGATAACGAACTTGCCGAATTGTACGCCCTATATAACTGGCTCCATAGGAGCAGTTGGACCGATAGATGCACATGGATTTGGCGAATTCAGGCAGTCCGTCTTTATTGGCCGTTCTTATTTTGAGGTGGTTGTAGAAGATAACATTTAATCTGGCTGCATTAAGTGTTTTTTGTACAGCTCTTAGTTTCTGAGTCACGATTTCTTTAGTGGTGTCATTTATGAACAGTACTTCCTTAGGGACGGTAGGTATCTTTGTTCTTGTTTTCATCTCCATCATGTGTTTGTCGATGGATTTCCTAGGGTACCCATTCGTACTAAGTAAGTTTCGAATATTAACCAATTCATCGTCAATGGTATCTTCCGACCAAATCATTCTGGCACGATGAGTCATGATCTTTATTAAGTTCCTTTTGTATCTGATTGGAACTGCACTGTAGAAATGAGTGTATTGTCCTGGTGCAGACTTTCTGTATACCCCTCATCTTAAAGTTCCGTCTGCTCTTCCAGTTAGTTGAACATGATATGCTATTGTTCTGTTCATCTTCTGTTGTAAAATTAAATGGTTGATGAACGTTATTAAATATATTAAGTAGATTGTCCTTATCATGTTTTTTTCTAATACTATGAAAGTATCGTCTACATAGCGATAGTAAATTGGTCAATGGCTAATTGTGCTTTTAAGCGGATATTTCCTTTGAAAAACTGGAAAATCTTGTTTTTGTTATTTTCGAACTTTATATTTCTTCAACATTCATCTTTTGATTCTTACGTAACTACAATTCTATTGACCATCCATTATAAAATTCTGTTCCTTCTCTTTTCATATATTACGAAACGTAGCAACTTCTTGATTTAATAATTACTTTGAATATTAATAATCCTCTTTCTCCCAATTACTCAATGTTAATTTTAATGTCATTATGTAATTATTACATGACGTATCCACTCGATGAGTATTATATCATTATTGTAAATCATATATATATTAGTGTAGAGCCATGATGAAAAACTAATTAAAAAGAAATTTCGCTCAATTCGTTTCTTCTTTATTAACCAATGGCAAAATGGGGATTTTCAACATGTATTTACTTGATAGATAATGATACTCTGATTCAAGAATGCTTAAATTAGTGGAGCCGCTAAATAGACTTCTCTCTGGTTATTCAAACGAACACGTCACTCGTTGATGCCTATAATCTATGAACGTCACAAAATTAAACAACAATATCACCATGTTTTCCGAATTATCCTGCTGCAGGAAAACTAAGGTTATGTACAATAAATTTTCTAAGTAATTGAGAAGGTAAAACTGATTATAAAAGTCACACACAAGTTGTACTTGTTACTAAATACAAGTAAACCTGTATACTGAGTGTTAGTGAATGAAATTAGGCCTTCATAATAATTCTGAACTTCGAAATTATAGATCCGAATTTTTAGCATATTTACCGTCATTGCTTAGCTTTTTCATTTGATGAACAACTTAAATCTATGAACTCATGAATTCATAAAAATTCCTAGCGAAAAGTTTCATTCGTCAGAAAACCTGAAATGCTAGAAAACTAATCTTTTGTAAATATTTAATAAAAGTCTAATACAATTCATCAACAGGATCAGTTCCAAACAAATAGCTCCAAGAAGGGGGGAGAGACCATTGGAAACTTGTGTCTTTAACTCCGTGTTGTGCTTTGAATTGTAACCACTTATTCAAATGCTGCACAACATAAAGTGCATCGCCACTGTTATCGCCTTCAGATGTAAAAAGATTTAACAGACAAGCAGATATCTCTTCATGTTTGAGTAATTCTTCAAATAAATAACTTGCAATTCCACACCCAGGTAAATAATAAACAACAGATAATTGACAATCTAGGTGGTCACTGTACGTCTTAAGGGGATACCAATCCAGTTCATCAAAGCGTTTACGATCAGAAGCGCAGAATGACGACGACAAAGCGTACTGCAGTGGTGCTGAGTTTAGCTCCTCATCCTGTAAAACGAAGTGAAATAGATGAGTGACTATAGAATAGACTATAGAATTATGGGTGATTGTGTTAAATCTGTTGTAAAAAAGGATTACAGATAGTCATTTTATAAAAATAATTCTTATTGAAGCTAAAAGTAACTGAAGCAAGGGGAAGAGACGCGCTGAGATGGAGTAGTCCCAGTTTTCTGGAAGGATGGTGCCCACCGTTTATTAATTATTTTGGTTGAGCGTGTTTTTATCAGATAACTACAGAGAGGTAAACTCTTCAAGATAGCAACTTTTATCATTAAAATTGTAGTGCCGGTTATTATTTTAAGCCCATATACCTTATTCTAGCTTTCGGACAGGCCAATCTACTCATTCTACTTGGGTCACATTTTGACCTTGATAATTATTCGCTTGTCAATCTTGACTGCTTTTATATGAGCGTATAGTATATGTGTGTGCCCTTCTTATCCCATTCATCACATGCCTGTTGCTTAATTTTGTGTGACTAAAAATATAGTAGAAATTATTGTATTGCGAATTAGAATGTATATAAGCGAGCAATATTCCTTTTAATTGTCGGGCTTCAATATAATGTATAAGAATATTTGTATGGACATATGAAATTCACATACTAATCAAGGCAGTTTATGAGTCAGCGATAACATTGGAATGGATTACGAAAATAAACAGTAGGTAAAAAGTACAAATTGTTTGTGATAACTGGTGTACTAGTTGTGACACGGATAGGAAACGGTTCAGTCAGTGTTCTATAGTAGGAAGTAGGTCAATGATATTAAAATAGTATTTACTACTAACTATAAAATTACGTAGTGTTTAGATAATTAGACAATGAAGTGTTCATTTAACAAAAGGTGAGGGAAGAGATAAGGGCATGGAAAAGTCTTCATAAATACACAGGTTGTTAGTTCGGATCCCCGTAGCTTCTGTCAAGTGTAAGAGACAAGATCAAATCTAATAAGGAAAGGTAGTGGATATACGATTAACTACTTTAAATGATTTGTTTTTATCTTCTACATGACTGCTATCGACCAACTGTAACGGGAAGATGTACGTTATCTTGATCAAACTCCTTAATTAACCCCGAAAGGTGTTCACTGACTCGACTTAGTTGTGTGACTGTACGCTCAATGTAGCAGTTGATATCGTAGACACACATTGATGTGGAAAAACCAGATAATTTACCCTTCGGTTGAAGAATCACCATACGTCGACTTTTACTGCTGTCACGCTTAAGAATTTGTGAACAGGAAACCGGGAAGATCAAGCATGTTATAAAATTGATGTATCATACTGGCTGTTTTCCCCTCAAGTTGTGGTGTGTAGAAAGGAATATCGACATCTAATTGTAATCATACGTGTGAAAATGACACTTGAACCTGCAGGCTGAGGTTGTAATAGAGACTGTTGTTGAAAGGAGCATAAAAAGAACACTGTAAGTTATCAAAAGCCCTTTATGTGAATACCATTATTCGAATTGGAAGTTACGACGAATGTTCACATGAAATGATTGTACTAAGTAACTATCAGCGATGTTCATGTTCGGTAATATTATCAGATTTTGTGCTCAAAATGATCTCAGAAACAACACTTTCTTCCTTTGAATGTATGGCAATTCACTAGATTTAGAGAAACCTTATTAACCTGAAGTTTGCAGATATCATAGTGTAGTTTAGCATGTACCCATAAAAACTGTCTTCAGGGATAGCGTCAATTTTTGGGATGTATGCAAATGCCTGACTGCGTGTACGGGGCTAGTGTGTGATTGAAATGCTCAAATAAAGACTGTTGGGGTCAACGCACATAACAGTTGGTTTAATATATTAGTCATTTACTCGAAAACACGAGGAAAACCATATCACGCTACCTTAATAAGTTTCTAGCTTACGTTTTTAAATACGAGTAAACACCAACTGTCAAGAATGTTCAGTAATTGATAGGATTTAGATAGAAAATAGTCAACTTACTTTAAGAATAGTCGCAAAGCTACTTGAAAGTAAAACCACAGTTTTAAACTTCATAGATTTCAGGAAGGTCACAAGCTCCTTGACATGCTTTCGTTTGGAACCGGTGAAGGGAGGGGCTCGAATTTGTAACACAGCTAGCTGAAGTTCAGGATTAGCATAAATCTTCAAAAGAGAAGAACAAATAGTTTTCATTTGTGGTAAACTATCCAGATTAAGGAATCGCAAACGCAAAGTTTTAAGGTGCTTACGTAAATTGAAGAATTCTTTACTGATCCTTGCTATGGTAAGGGTACAAATGAGCGGGAGCCTAAATTGATGTACGACCCATGAGTCGTCATTTTCGGGGAAAATATAACATTGGTGTGATGAATTTCACGACCTAGAAAAGTCTCGATATATAAAAACGAAATGGATGCACTAGTGGAGTAGCCATAGATTATTTAATGGTGAAAGTTCTCATTCTTCAAAGATTACACTCTTCGCTTTGAAAATAATTTAGAACATTTCTAAAGGGGTACGAACATATAAGATCTTAAGAAAAACCATATCTTGGAAAAATAAAGATATACGCATTAGTAATATGTCTCAAAAACTTTGAAACTAATTAATTATGGATCTGTCATATTAGTTTTTGTAACATGGGCTAGATTAAAACAGGATGTGAAATTCCCAAAAGTTTGGGATAGGATGCTTTATATTGTTAAACAAACTAAGGTGAAACTGTGATCATTAAGAAGTCAACAACACACGTGGGGTGTTGTGTGTATCGTCCATTACAAAAGTAGTGACCAACCTTATTAACTGAACACTTTAAATATAGTTTGTTTCGGAATAATAATTGACAAAAAGCAGGTGATGCTAATAAAACGACTGAATGAGAACTAGTATTCTTATTTGACTGTGACGTAAACAGCAAGATAGGAACTTCCAATTGTGAACTAATTTCTTAGCCTTTCGGAGTAAGTCATGGAAGAATTCACGAACCCATAAACAACTATCTATTCAATAACTGTAAAGTTTTTTAACCACAACATAGAATTCTCTTACATAGATCACGTGATACAGGCCTGTTAACTGTTTAGAATAGATGTACCATCTCATTGGAGTACATTCAACCTATGCACATGACCTTACTAATTTTTATGGAGATATTCAATAAAGTTAATTATCGAATCGCTCACCTGAAACCGGGATTAGCAGCAACTATCGGGTGCTTAGTGACTTTCAGATTACTTATAGGGGAGATCGTTAGCTGTCAGAGTTTGCTTTGCCATATCTAACTAGTTTTCAATGACGAGTGAAGTACCACAGAGTGAAATCCTAAGGATTATGCTCCCATTGTTTAAAGATTTGCCTATCACTACAGGCCCTTAGAATTTATTATATGGAGATGATTTTAGAACTTGAGAGAGACGCTAGATCCAAATGATATTTTGTTTCATTACAAAAACTTAAATAGGTTATGTGATTACCAAAAACCGTCCTTTCAGTACCAGCAAATGAAGGGTGATAATGGTGAATAGTAGTGGAACTGTATCGGTCACATACTTTCGGGGTGATTCTAGTACCACACTTTTTACTTCAAAAATACCTGCTTCTTCCCATTGGGATTCTGTAGCAAAATTGAATACTATCTTGGATTTTCTTTATAGACTAACTTCGGGATAATTTAAAACCTTTCTTATTGTTTATTTAGGACCTCATTTGCAAAACGGTTCTTGGATCATTTATCATTAACCTATTATCCTCTTGTAATGTGCTCAAAAAAGAGTAATCAAAAATGTATGCGAACCAAAAAATGAACTGCACTTAGCTCGCATGGAAGCTTTAAGTTTGCAGTCTGTGCAGTACAGAAGGATTCAGGGGGAATAATCACTACGATTCATGTCGCTCATGATCCCTCTACACATAACAGACCACTACTACAAGTTGACACAGAAGACCTGTACGGATATTTTTGTAGCTAAAATTAGTAGATTGTGGAGATATTAACCAGATGCAATGTTAAAGACACCTTCCACAGAGTCCTTCGAAGGGAGGCTCCAGGTTCACATGAGCTGAGTAGGTCATGAGGGTGATCAGTCTCGCAGTTATTAACTAACTTGCTTTGCCCTTCAGTTGTACAAGGAACATAAAAAGTTATACCTTTCCATGATCAAGAATGATCTTTGAGTACCCAGACGCAGATCTTGAAGGACAAATTATTCACTGATTCCTCCTAACAGTTCAAGGTTTGAGCTGCTTAGTCAGCTTGAAATCTTATAAACTGTGTTCATTATGACACAGAATAGTTGAGGTTAGATCGACTATGAATTTAGTACATAAAGATTACCGTAAAACTTGTATATATCATATAACACTCAGAAAAAAATATATATATACCTGTGAAGTTGTCATCATATCATGAACATCTCCAGGCAATCGGTAAGGATTGATACCGACTACGGATGGGCAGTACTCAAAATTTAAACTACAAATAACATCACAACCTAAGTTATAGATTAAAAGATCACATGCAAGTTGGGCTACATTGCCGACACCAACACAAGCAACAATAAGGTTATACGAAGAAAAATAATTACAATCAAGAGCGGGAAATGAAGAGTCACAGTGAGATGACATGCGGTTAGGTAGCTAGCAAAGGTCTACCTCAGATATTTCAGTTTGGGTTTTTTCTGTTAGGGATTATAACCACTAGGGATGTTATGAACTGAAGACAGTTGAAACACAAGAGAGTAGAACAGGTGACGACTTCTATTTGTGTAACGAACGACTGCCAGAACAAAAAGAATGTGCCACCTAAAGCCGAAGGAATGTAAAACACAAGGCTGGAAATATACGCCGGTTTGGAAATACCGTTAGGGTCAAATATCAAAGAACCGAAAAAATGTTTTGCGACTTCTGAGACCAACCAACCAAACAATATAAACAACTCCTCTACACAGGCACTTGATCCGAAATGAAGGTAATAAGATTTGTATACATACAAAAGAACTTCAAGAACAAAAAAGGAAAACACTAAGTATTGCCCACACTTATTAAGTATAACATGTACGGCTGGAATGAGAAGCATGTTCAAATGATTCAAACAAAGGTTATGTTACTGGTTGTATGTTTGATTAAAATTGAATGTAAATAATGGCAAGTTTCTTTCCAGGCTGCTTCTATTTGAGTACGATGTCAGTAGTGTTGCTATGGTAGCAAAACTGGCACGTTTTCAAATCTGAGCCCGTGAGTTTAGTATTTTATTTTAATGTTTATCGTAAAATTATTATTTGACATTTTCCGCGAAAATGAATACACCAATAAAACTTACGGCACCATATCTTGTATTGCCTCAAAATATTTTTCTATATCTTTCCTTACCTTCACGTAAATTTACAACATCAATCTAGTAAACAATTACTCGAAACAAAAAGTAGAGCAAAGATGGAGTTAGAGTAGAGCTATTCAAGTTGATCTTAGTGGTTTATACCATATGAAATGGCCGAACAGTTGAAGAAAACGGGCTGTATGATTGGTTTTTTTCTCGAAATCAGACACCAGCACGCAGTGAGTATGTCAATAACAAAACTGTTAAGAACTACAAAGCGAGTTACTCATAAGACGATAACAGTGCTTTTGCCAAGCAGAGTACATGGTTTTTAGACTCGGATTTGTGTAGTAAGAAGAGAGGGCCTACGTTAGTTTTTTTCTAGTCAGCTTCACCGAGTGTCTGGTCTTTTCTTAAACCAGTCACTTGAGCGTGCGGACAACAGCGCTTCGGATAACAGGTTCCAATAATTGATGGCTTGGTGTGAAAACATGTATGCCACGGGTATTTTGTTCCTTCTTGGCTTCTCTACTCGCTTGCTAAATCCTCTGAGATGTTCCGATCTAGTGGGAAGAAAAAGAGAGGCATACCGTATCCAAAGTCATTTCTTAGTATTCTGTACATCAAAATCAGATCAAATCTTATTCTGCGATAAGACAAATTAAAGAGGTCTAGCTTTTCAAGCCACCTTTTGTACAATAAACCCCTGAAAATGTCACAGGTATTCACAGTTTGACAACACTTTAACCAGTAACACCTAATATGAAGCGTACCCAACAAGTGAAATCAAAAGGTAAGAGGGAGGAAGTCTGAAGATATATTTAATAGGCTATCAATATATCGCGGATCGGCTTATTTAGACTGGCTAGCGATTGTAGGGGATGTTGAGCACGGCGTTCCCACTCGTGATCTGGTGTGGATGCATGACCGAACGCCTTCAACTAGGTGAGTACACCAAAACTAACGTGGTCAGCATCCAATGTCGAAGACTTACAGAGCTATTTGTTTTGGGGATTTATTTACGGCTACACCCCTGAGTTCTGTAATTGCACCAGTAGCTTCTTTTTTTAATTTTTCCAACATATCCGAGTCGCCTTTTGAACGAAGACATGACGCCTGGATCTCACTAGTTTTGTGTTTACTGTAGTGAACATATTAAGAACTAACTTAATAAATGTCCGTCTTTAAGCCCGTAATGTTCTAAACTTTCTAGCCGTGACCTGATTATGGTTGTCTGTGCTTTTCAGATTGCGGCTTGCCTTCACCTCAAGATCCTTGTCAGACTGAACTATAGGCACTGACTTTTCTCCTGCGCTGTACATATATATCGTTGTATCCACAAATATACATGTAGACACACCTAGCCACGTTGACAGGCATCAGCCATTTCTTAGATTAGTTAATTAGAACATTCAAGTCTGCCTCAAAAACATGCGCATCTGTGCTTCCTGCTGTTTCACGCCAGATTTTTACATTATCAGCGTGTAGTAGAATTGGAGGCCTAACTGTATATACAATATAACATGCAAAATACCTACGACAAAGTCTTGCGGTACTCCACTACGTACTGGTTTCCAGGAGGAGCATTTGTAATTTATTCGTACTTTGTGTCTGCGACCTATCACAAAATCCTTGATCCACTCCAGGCGAAGTCCGAAATTTCTCATATTTTCTAGCTTCAAGAGTAGTCTACTTCATGTTGAAGTCTATATAGGCAACATCCACTGGTTTTCCACTATGTAGAGCCACCCTTGTTATGAGAATGTTGTGTAAGCTAATCCTTCTCAGAAACCACGGTAACGTTATTCAACAAGTTATTGATTCCTACGAATGTTGTTTTGACGTTTTAGATTATTCTCTACAGTATTTCAAGTACTGGCCGACATGTCAGCATTTTGATGGAAGTTGTCTTGTTCCTGTCTTATGTATTGGATTGACGATTGTATCATTTCAGTCCGTGGGTAACTCACCTTGGCTAACTTGCAGATTTAATATAGTAGCCAATGAGTGACAATGTATGGTATATAGACCTTAGAATTCTAACATGTGGTCCATCTGGTCTTGTTGAGCTTTCTGTGTATAAGGTGCTCAGGGCCTTTAGTACTCCGTCCAGATCAAAATTCACAGTAAGCAACCAATTTCGTCATCTTTTATTTGAGTCTAGTCCTTCGTCTAAAGGGGCCTCCTGAGTGAAAACTATCTCAAAGTAGTTGGCAATATCCTCTGCTTTGTCATTGCTTTTCTCTGTAACCTAAGATTCACTCCATTCGGTAGTTGGATTGAAGGTTCAATGATGCACCTTCATTTTGTAATTTATGTACGAGACCAGTCTCTTGGGATGATTGATTACATATTACGTTAACCGGTTCTCATATTTTCTCTGAGATACCTGAATTCTAGTTACATACTAACTTCGCAATTACCTTTAGCATCCAATTCTATTTGTTGTTTAGAGGCTGATGGCTACCCAACACTTCCTTTGTTTTGGTGGATTTCGCATCTTCCAGTTTATCCAGTAATGCCTGTGTTTTTTCTTCTTTGGAACTGTCCGGTATGTAAATAGTTGAGCTACTTGATTATATGACTGCCGGAATTGAGTTCATGCCTCGTCTACTGACGCACCGGAGTTAATTTTCAAGCTTTCAGTCGAGGCTGCAGAGATAGTCGTCTTTATGTTTGCCTTCCATGAGCTAGGATGGGCTAGCGCAACAGCTTGACAGACCAGATCAACCATGAACTTGGACGTGATGACCACATGATCATTCATGGCTGAGGTATACTACAACCGATTGAACATCTTGCCCTTTATATTTTTGAAGGCAATGCACCAGTTCACATGTCCTGGAGTCGTGTGCCACCATCTTTGTAGCTCGTATGGTTAGGACGCTTTTCATGAACAGGATAATCTCAGTAACCCTACAGTTTATTCTGTCAGCCCTACAAAGTAAGAAACGAAGCGATTAATATCTACTATCATACTTATCTGACGCTACCCATGTTTCTAAGACAGAAATAACACTAGGATTTTCTGTACTCACCACGTATTTGAGCTCCTCCATCATATTTAGCATTTGCATGATACCCTTAATATGGTGACAAATGCCTTTGTTCCGCTGAGTAGTTTAGTTTCGTTTTGCGTGAAAACCCTTAAGTATGAGGTTTTTAACCGTTCCGGCGGCGCTCATATGTTTATGCTTTTTTGATAGTCTACTAATATGATTAACCAGGCTGAGATCCTTACGAACATATATTCTGGATTCAGCCAGTTCGCGTCGATTTTTCAATATTAGGCTCCTTTTCTCAGCAAAAGTAGGAGTTACGTCCATGACTCGGTTTGTTTGCGTGCTTCTTGAACCCACTTTTGTGCTACACTATAAAGCTTATGAATATAAACTCCTGCGACTGTCTCCTTAAGTAGCTAATTAATTAAGGCCATAATGTGGCTGTGTTCAGATGCACGCTTTGACTCCCTTCTGAAGGACTCTCTTAACTTATGAAAAAATGACTGACCTTTCAGTGAGATCCATCTCAACAAGCCGTGAGATGCTGTTACCTAAACTCTTTTCATCCCTGCAGTCTGACCTGATGCCAGATGTGCAGGCATCACTCTGTTCCATGAATTTTCTGGATGTTACTGCAAGCCAATTGTCATGCTAATTTTGTTTCTCGACCAAATCTTCTACAATATTCATGTTTCCTCTAATATAATCTGTCTCGCGTTTGCAATGAAGGACTTTGATGGGTCCTTTGTATGCCATTTTGAGTGGTCCTTGCCATGAGTCGCGTCATACGAGTACGTGTGTATTATGTCCTAAGGCAGGTCGGACGAAAACTCAAGTTGACTGAGATTGAATAAAGAAGAATTGTTGTGCAAAGTACCCCAGAAAACACATACAATGATTATGCAACCTATGATATTAAAGAGCGGAAGTTCGCAAAGCCTTCGCTGAAGCATTATAACATATTGATCGTACATGTGGTACGGTTGACCAAGAAGGATAGATATACCAAACAGAAAAATACCGAAGGTGGTTTCCTCTCCTCTTCAGATCACCGCATTCGATCCCGATGTATCTTGTGCCAACAAACATTGGTTATCAATCGGTATCTACATTCATTTGAACAAGCCAAATAATGCCAGAATCAAGACCGAAAGCGACTCGGGTAGACAATTCTATTTATGGACTGTCAAGCATAAGTAAATATATGGGTAGGTAGGTCTATTTTCCTTCCATGGCCAATTGGAGAGGACAAGGCAAGAACGCATAAGCCCTTCATATCGAAAGAATCAAGCTTACGTGTTTACAGA